ATCAATGTGCGCATTGGGGATCACAATATTGATTTGTAGGGTTATTTTAGGTACTTTAAGAGGAATTTCACGAATTATATGCATACACACCTAAATAGGATTTCATGCATATACAAATAAAAGATCGCATAATAGTTCAAAATTAACCTTTGATGCATGAATTCGGGCTTGTTTAGTTCATATTATTTTTGCTTATGTGGTATGATCTAACCTGGCCTAATCTGATCTGATCCGATTGTGTGATTTGACCAAACTTTAACTGTATGTGTACAATAATCTATAAAGAAAAAATACATCAAGTAGGGTCTTGTTACATTCAGAATAATGTGTATTTTATTAAAATGTAATTTTCATAATTATTTTCATTATGAAATTAAAGATATTTAGCGATAAAAAATCACACATAAAACGATAATTTGATCTGAACTTATTTTTTCTGATCTGATTAGAACTTATTTTTTCAGAACTGAACTTATTTTTTCTGAAATTAGTAAAAATAAATTGAACTAAACAAGACCTTACTCTCTGCAGCTTTCTTCTCTAAAGAATATAAAGAGCCTCATAATGTGATCCTATTTTCGAGCCACCAACTTGAATTAATACTCCACCAATGCTAGTTATACGGGAGAACCTTCCACACTTTATTGGATTTGAAAACCGGTTTTGAGTACCTAAAATAATATAATCCCATTAGATTAATTAGGTTAGGTTCTTTATCTCATTCCCCCTCTTGGCCGGCCACCCTAAGGCCCACTTTATGCCTTGGGTTTCTTTATTGATTCAAACCTAATGTGTGACCTTGTAAGATCCGTTTCGAGGGACTTTGGGTTTATTTCTTTCTAACCCAAAAGTCTATGGCGTTCTCTAGCAAGACATAAAGATGACCCAAATAAACGAATTATTAATATACTTAGTAATTGCACTAGAGTCGAGAACACAATTCCTTCATCACTACAAGAAAAATACCTTTCCGTAGCGATTATTTTAACATTTCGTATCTATTGTAATTGCTACAAAAAAAAATTCCCGCAGATGGTTATTCGATACAATATATGTCGTTCCCATAGCCTTTAATAGTGTTTTTCGCTTTCCCTAGGGTTATCCTTATTAATCGATACGGAAAACAACATTTAACATATGATCTATACAAGATTCGAACATGCAACCTCAAGCTTTAATATTAAATGTTTATCCAATATGACATATTTTATGTTCACTTTGTCAAACAAAATTTTAAAATCTAATGTAAAAAAGGCTTTCTGTATCGATTTTTGGGTTTTAGTGGCGACTGTAAACGATACGCTCTTCCATAATTTTATAAATGTACATAAAAATGGTGAATTAATATTATTATTATTTTCGTATTAGTTTCATATGGGTTTACTACATCGATTGTAAAATAATACGAATTCCACTACTATTTCACAAACATATGTGCATTGTAGCGAATGTAAAATCGTTACGAAATAATCGCTACAAAAAGACAATTTTCTTGTAGTGCATGATTCATATACGTAGTAAATAAAGTATTTTTCTAAGTATTTTCTTTATTCATGTTGATCACTCAATGATAATGGTTTGATTTTAGTTAATAATTATGTTAGAGAATTTTCCACTGTTAATTTTAGTAAGTTAGAATTTTTGAATATAGCCTTAAGTAATCACGTAGCGATACGCCTAAGCTTCTCTCTACAGTATTTCATATGTATTATTCTACTGTATTCTTAGAGAGGAATATAGGGGTGTTACAAAATGATAGCAATTTTCCGGGTCTTAAAAAAAGGTTAAAATTGGAAAATTAAAATTGATGGGTAGACTTATGAGGACATATAAAATAAAAATTTCATAAATTATTTTACAACTAATACTATATTTTCTTTCTAATCTCTCTAGCTCTTTGATATATTATAAATTTTCAATAGAAGATAAATCTATAACTAATACTAAAATAGCAACCGCTGAAATCATTCTATACTAAAATTAAACACATGTCATGTTATCATTAAAAAAAATCCCTCCAAAACTATAAATGATGTCATCAATTATATTTTTATTTTACTTTATTAAAATTCTGATCGATTATATTATTAGAGCACCCACAATGGTGGGCATTATTTTTGCTCATGGGCATTTTGGTGAGCAAGCTTGTGAGAAATTGGGTTACAATGGGCTTAATATTAGTTGCCCATGGGCATGTGTAAAAATGCTCAAGACTTGGGCAGAAATTCATGTGAATAGTTATTTGGTGGGCCCCACATGTAGCTGATTAAAATAAAAAAATTGGGTGGAGAAGGCATTAAAATGGTGCGTTTGATGTTGCACGCAAGAAGAAGCAAGATCAAAACGGTGCGTTTTAATCTGGGGTGTCTGAATAAAAAAATTAAAAAAGTGTCCTAACACGTGGCAGACCAAGGGCGAATCCTAGAGCGCCACGTGGTAGGTGCAGGAAGCTGGCCAATAGGAAAATTCTAGCTGTTGGCAACGGTAATATTGTTTGTAATTTAATTTCTGAAATAAATATTTATTTAAAAAAAAATTACCAACGGTCATAAAATTTAATTCTCTATAAATAGACATGCATTTTACTATATTTTAGTATAATTTCATGAATACCATAAATCCTTCTTGCTTTTTAATTTTCCTATTATTCCTAAATTATAGTTATTGTTGCTGTCTTTAACCAAAATTCAGGTAAATTAATTTTTTTATTAGCTAAATTCAGTTAGTAATTAATATTGTTAATTACATTTTTTTTAAAAAAATTAAAAATGTAGTATTATGGTATATGCAATTTTTTGGGTAATGTATTAAGGTATTGCAAGTATTTATTTATTTATATTTAGGAAATTGGTGTTGTTTTGTTCATATATTAAATAATTCGAATTTAATGTAATATTATGGTATTGGGAATTTTGTGGGTAATGTTATTTTCGTTTTGTAAATGCTTAATTACAATATTTTTGTTAATTTATATGAGTTTGATTTAATTTTTAAGTAGTTAATTATGTCAAATTATATTACTGGATACTTTTTATTTTTTTTGGATTGTTGAACTCTTTAATTTTTTATCGTGGTTGCTGTATTTTTTTATAAAGTTTGTGGTATTATGTTCAACTGATTTTTATTTTTTTTGGTCATTATAAATTGTTGTTTAAATTTTTAGTTACAATTGTTGCAAGTAGATTAATTTTTGTTCATATGTTGTCAATGTGAGGTTAATTTAATAAATGTATTCTAATATGGGTATTAAAAAAAGTTGTAAATATTAGCTTAATTTATATGTTTAATTACTAATTTTTTTTTATTAATTTATATGTTTTTTTTCCTGTGATGCAGATTATTTCAATGGATCCAAACAACCCAAATTTTCGTCAACAATTTTCCGGTTTTAGTGATGATTTCATAACTAATCTCGAGTTTCAAATGTTCTTGCAAAGAATGGGAAATACGTCTCTGCATCCACCTCCACAACATGAGACAGCTACTCAATTCCCCTACGAAAACAATGAAAATGAAGCACGTACGCCTGTAACTGATGTTGGTAGCAACAACCAATTCGATGATAGTCAGGATGAAGACGTACCGAAGACGCCACAATATCCTCCACAAGCTCCTAGAATGCAAGCCAACCAGGTTGTTGCACGAGCGACTCGTGTTTGGTCTGTTGCGGAAGATGAAGCTTTGATTGGGTTGTATTTACAAATTAGGGAAGACGCTATTTTAGGTACGAATCAGAAAGCTTCTGACCTATGGCGCAATGTCCACGCTACCTATCAAAGGGCACAGGCGGAGAAACCGAATGTACTTCCGCCTAGACCTATGAAGAGTTTGTCATCGCACTGGAGAAAGCTAGCAGCAGACACACTACAGTGGATATATTGTTATGATGAAGCGGGTAGACTTCCCGAGGGAGGTAGTGGGTATAACGAAGCTGATCGAGTGAAAAGTGCATCTAAGTTGTTTCATTTGGCCACCGGTCACAATTTTACTTTTCCTCAGCTCACGCAGTTCAAATGCTCAATCAAGATCCAAAATGGAGGCCAAAGTTGAGATGGGCCTTGTCAAAGGAGGAAAGAAAAGTTGTGTGTGATGTAGAGGAGGAAGGAAGTGGTGGTAGTGATAAGAGGTCGAGGGATGATGTTGAAGGTGATGATACACCTGCCGATGGTTTTTCATCTGGAGGATTACGTCGGCCCGATGGTGTGAAGAATCAAAGACCAAACGTAAAGGAAAAGCCGTAGATACGGACAGCAGTTCTTCTGACCTTAGCGAACGGATTAAGGTGTTCTCTACAATTCAAGAAGAGAAGATTAAAATGGAGAAAGAAAAGGAGCTGAGGAAAAGAGAGGAACTTGATATTCTGAAGATGAAAACCATGTTCGATATGCTACAAACTCTGAAGAACTCGCCTACGCCACTCACTCCTCAAGAAGAGGCGTACAAGAATATTCTGCTAAATAAATTAGGAGGTTTATAAACATGTCCTTGGTCTGAGTTAGTATTAGTCAAGTATTTAATTATGCGTAGTTTATTTAAGTGTGTTTAATTAAGCATATTGTAATCTTTTATTTCAGTATTTTTGTTTTATGTCCTTGTAGAATTACAATGTAGTGTGTAAACTTGTATTCTGATTTTCCAATATTGAATTACAAGTTGGCTTCATTTTAGTCATGGAGTAATCACTTCTATCTTTAATCATGTCATTGAGTAGTCACTTCTCTATTATCATCATTTATATCATGGAGTAGTCACTTTAATCATGTCAGTGAGTAGTCACTTTAATCATGTCAGTGAGTAGTCACTTTTTTTGATTGATTTACTCTCCTTGTAAAGTCACTTCTGTCGTTGCTTTTTCTGATAACCTATTATGCTTAATCCATGGCTGAAAATTTGATACCTTTACTTGGTGTGGTCAATTATATTAGTGACCACATACTCATTTGTCACATTTCTTTATATACAGTGAGCAGGAAACCTTTCCATAACCAGAAACACATCAACTCATAAACTTCTATCTTTAATAATTCAAAATGTATTCCAGACCATCATCCAGTTCAAGTTCATCTTCTTCAAATAATGAAGAATATGATGAACTCGTTGATGCATTGTTCTCATTCTTGCCCCCAACCACTAGTAGAATAAACTAAATTGGAAGCCATAAATTGGAAGCGGTTATTGAATTCCGCTTCCAAAAAACCAATTTAAAAAAAATTAAAAAAAAAATACAAATGGGAAGCGGGGTGAACCGCTCCCAAATATTATAATTAGAAGTGGTTTAAACATGAACCGCTCCCCATTTTCCAAATAAAATCGGGCTACCAATAATAAATTCACGCCTTCATCTTCTCTCTCCTCATTCCCCTAATTTCTCACGCCTTTCATCTCTCTCCATCCCCTTATCTCTGCTCTCTGCTCTCTCCTCTCTCCTCTCTCCTCTCTCTCCATCTCCTTCTCCTCTCTCCATCTCCTTTGGCCACGACAACCACTGCACCCCATCAACACAGCAACACCGAGCAACATCACCGGGCACCAGCGAGCAACAACCACCGAACAACAACGAGCAACCCACCGAGAAAAAGCGAGCAACCCACCGAGCAACAACGCCACGCCAACAACAACAACACCGACAACGCAATTTCAGTAAGAATTCAGATCTAGTTTAATTTTTTTTCAAAATTTATCCTCAAATTTTATGTTTGATTGCCTTGAATCGGTTCGATTTATGGTTTATTTGCAATTATTGAGTTGAAATTTGGTTAGGGTTCGTAAATTAGTTGATGGGTTAATGAATTTGTTTCAATTATGCTTCAATTTTTTTGCATAATGAGTAAATTTGTTGAGATTTGTTTCAATTCTATGTCAGATGCGTTGGTGGCGTTAGATGGGTGGTGGCTTCAGATGCGTGGTGGTGGCTGAATTACAGATGCGTGGTGGTGGAAATACGTAGTATATATTTTCATACTTATGTAATTTTTTTTCTGAATTATAAATGTAATTTTTTGGACGAATTATAAATGTAATATTACAACTTATTAATGGAAATACGTAGTATATATTTTCATACTTATGTTTTATTTTTATTTATTTTTATCAATTTTCCTTCGTTCTATTAGCCTGGATGCCCTGTTCGTTGGGTTGAAGAAAGGTTTTGGTGAAATTTTTTTATTTTTTTTAGAGCTATAATGGGAAGCGGTTCAGGCATCAAACCACTTCCCATTCCCTCAAATTGGAAGCGGTTTGAATCGCTTCCCATTTAAAGTTGCTATGGGAAGCCCCCCAAACCGAAGCGGTTCAAAATCGCTTCCAATTAGGGGGTTTGAACCGCTTCCAATTTAGTTTATTCTACTAGTGAACTTTCCTGATGCCCCACACACAATCTCAATCCCCTACGAAAACACATAGAGGGGATACGAACAAAAGAGATAGGGAAATGGGACATGCTAGGTTGTTTAATGATTATTTTTCAGATAACCCTGTGTCGACACCAACCAATTCAGAAGAAGATTTCGGATGCAACGACCTCTGTTTGAGCGTATTATGAACAAGGTTGTAGAAGGGGATGTTTACTTCCAGCAGCGTAGGGATGTAGCTGGAAGGTTAGGCTTATCTCCTCTGCAAAAATGCACAACCGCAATAAGAATGTTAGCCTACGGCTTGGCTGCAGACGCTGTTGATGAATATGTTTGAATCAGTCAGTCAACCGCTTGAGTTGCCCTTCAACGTTTTTATGCCGGGGTCATTCAGCAGTTCGGCACCGAGTACCTACGCAATCCTACAACTACCGATTTGGCCCGAATACTGCTTCAAAATGAATTGCGTGCTTTTCCAGGGATGATTGGCAGCATTGATTGCACATTTGCATGCACTAGGAATGGAAGAATTGTCCAACGGCTTGGAAAGCGCAGTACGCCGGCAGAAATAAAAAAGCAACGCTAATACTGGAAGCCATTGCGGATCAAGATTTATGGATATGGCATTCATTTTTTGGTATTCCATGATCTTGTAATGATCTTAATGTGTCGTACCGTTCCCCAGTGTTCGATAAGGTTCTTCATGGACGAGCTCCTCTGGTAAAATTCACGGTTAACAACCACGAATACAACATGGCATATTACTTAACCGACGACATTTATCCAAAGTGGGCAACTTTTATTCAAGGTATCACGCACCCTCAAGTTTAGAAGGATAAATTGTTCGCTGACCACCAGGCTGCTGCTCGGAAGGACGTTGAAAGAGCATTTAGCGTTCCTGCAAGCTCGATTTGCAATATTACGAAAATCGTCACTGCCGTACGTTGAGGACATACTACGTGACATAATGAAAGCATGTATCATTATGCACAACATGATTGTTGAAGATAAGCGGCACAACTACACTCGAGCCGAAGTTCTTAGAAGCTTCTACGAAGAAAATCAACAACATTTAACAACAACATCAACGTCTACAACGCCACCGTTTGAATTCAACGTAGGCCGACCTACCAACTTTGACTTTATCTCATTTCTCACAACGAAAAGCTTCCCTCCGTGATAGAGAAATTCATGTATCTCTGAAAAGTGATTTAGTCGAACATATTTGGTTACAATACGGGCCAACTAATTAGGAAAAAATTAGCACGACTTAAAAAAGGCCAACTAATATGGCCTAACTACTTTTCCGTACGCAGTCGTGTATTTTTTTAATTGTTTTGTTTATTTTATTCGTCAAGTTTAATTACGCATGACGTTCCCAATGTAATCGGTTTTTAGTACTGTACCGCTTTTAAAATAAATAATAACATTTACGAAATTTTAGCGTTTTGTTAAAATTATTTCATCTAACGTACATAATCTAACGACATATTTTACCGATAAAAACGACACAAATAAAAAAATTTAGTTAAAAAAATTTAGACTAGTTTTAATTTATTTGGAGTAATATTGTAAAACATAAATGAAATTAATAAATAAAGAAGTGTTGTGTAGGAGAGAGAAAGTAATGGTGGGGTATTGAAAAAGTAAGAGAAAGAGAGTGGTGGGCAAACATTATTTTTGCTCACCATTGGGAGAGAAATTGTGAAAAAGAGTTGCTCATGGGCAAAAACTGATTTGTTGAGAGAGAAAGTGGGTAGAGAGAGATTGAGCAAGCATTATTTTTGCCCACCATTGGGAGAGGTCTAACCATTACAACATATTCTCATCGGAACAATAAAGTATAAAATTCATATGAAGATACACTCTTAGTAATTCTACCGTTAAATAAGAACAACGAATGGCACATTTAAATTACACAGAACTGCTCTTGATTTACAACTTTATAAATAGATGTTGCCGGAGTCACATTCAACAATGGTGTATTTCGCCGGGAGTTTACTAGTGACCACTGTAATTGATGTGTCCATGATAAAAGGAAAGTTTTTAATTTTGACGCCAATGGCCTTTGCTCAGGAATCACGCTTAGAAACTCAGCAGGCGGAAAAAGGCCAAAATATATCCCGTCTTTGCCTTCTATATTGCCACTCATTTGAGATTTTAAATTTATGACATGTCGCAATCTCAGGCCTCATTTATGTGGAGCAATTAAACGTGTACAATAACGAGTATAAACTCTAGATGGAGCAATTATTTAAGGATTGTGGATTATATAATCAATTCCTCCCCAAACTCAAAAGCTCAAATATAGGCGTGTCATCAAAAGAATATCATTTCAATATCAAGAAGCATAGGTAACGATTTCATTTCATATCCGTACATGATTACAGCATAATGCAGGAGAATTTTTTCACAAAACCGTCACCAATTGGTGACCGTCAGTTGGTAAGTGCAAATTACAAGTAGCTAAATTCTACACCGCAAAGCCCTATATTACAGCCAAAAACAAATGAAATAAAATTAAAAAAATACCACACCATATAGACTAGTATTGACTCTATGGTAAGAGAGAAAATTTCCCTTTGATGCCAATTCTGACTGATACAGCAGCTTCAACTCTATGATTTGACGTCGAAGGACAAGGACAAGGAAAAGGACGAGTACGAGGAGAGCACAAGCACAGAGCTATGGACAGCAATCTTAAAAAGTCCATATGAATTTGGTACTCAATAAGAGAATTCATGACCACGAATTGAGATGTACTTCTTAACCCAGATGGCAATATCTTCAGCACAAGCCTGGGCTTGAGGGGTCTTCAGAAGCATGTCAAGGGTTGCAAATTCATGGACTGCATCTTTGTATTCCAGAACCGGGGCATCCACATTAACTCTTCGCAACTCCTCTGAGTAGGCAATGGCCCGGTCTCTCATCCAATCATGTTCTGCCACTACAGTCAGTGTCGGAGGCATAAGTTTTAATGGAGGTCCTCTATTTGGAATCAAAGGATTCGCGGCAGGGTGGTCTAAGCTGAACTCATTTTCTGGCAGGAAGAGCTTCCATGCGAGCACACACATAGGCTTATCATAGAAGTATGAATTGGCCAACTTTATCTCTGAATGTGTAGGGACGCTGCCGATAAAGAATGGGTACATTAACACCTGTGCTACAACCTTAACAGGGTCGAGCAGCTTCCCAGATTCAACAGCTTTCCTAGCCACATAGTCCGAAATGTTTGCCCCACAACTAACACCAAGTAGAACACATCTGATGAACAAGTATTTGTATCAGTACTATAAACCTCAAGTTAGATAAATAATTGCAGCATGATCAATTTAGAAACATATATACCCACTCCTTTCCCAAAAAGAAATGAGACTTCGTTCTATAAAAATTATTTAGAGATAATGCAGATAAAGTACAAGAAATAAAGCCAAGATAAACAGCTAAAGTACAACTATAACTAAAACGATGATATGTATATTAATTTATTTTTTAAATGAGAACTTCGGTTGAGATTATCCTCGCACTTTAATCCAAAAATCTAGCCAATATGTTTAAAGAACTTTCATATGCAAGTTAGTGGCAGCCGCCATGTGATTTGAACTACTCTTAAAACCTAAAGTACCCAGTGTTGGAGACCCTCAACACTGGTCCAACACTCAGACATGGGTGGGATACTTCAGTATCCTAAATTTACTGAAAAAATTCACAAAATAGCATTATAATTGGTCACGTACCCATGTGAAAGACCAGTACTCAAGTCTAAGCAACATAGGCGTCAAGTCTAGAGGACAAGCTTAGCAATGTCTTTCTTCCAAACATGCAGAAAGAGAAAATAAAAAAATAAAAATAAATCTTCTAGCACATTTGACACCAATCTAATCAATTAAACAAAACCTAAAAGAAACCAACAACCTTTCAATACAAACTTTAGAAGAAATTTGTAGTTGAGGACATCAAGGATATTAAAAAGATAGAACTAATTGCGTTGGTTTGGGAACGTCAGGTGGAGAAGACGAACCAGTAAGGAAAATAGAGATCAAGTCACAGCAAGAGTGCAGAACCAAAGGTGACTTGAATGGAAGGAGTTGAGAAGGATGTGAAAAAATTGGGTTTGCAAGAGCACATGATTGGACATAAGGGAATGAATGGAGCGGATCATGGATAGCGAGTACAAGGTTCATATAAGCAACCTCATCTTTGGGATTAAGGCTCTGATTGTTCCTACAGTTGTTATCACTATTCATGTTCTCAAACTTGATTGTCATTAACAAGAATCAATATTATCACGTAGCATCTTGCTATATTCGTTTCAATTTGTATTTTCATAATATTAACATTTTTAAATTATTATAATTTGAGATTAGAGATATTAATGGTCAAAATAATACAATGGGAACAACGCAAATTGCAAACGGAAAGATCTTAAAAGAACGAAGGGGGTATACATCCAGAACTGCCATCACTACACAAATCCTAGAGAGATAATTACCACTATCAAGAACCGCGGAAATGAAAACCACTGAAATGAGAATTTCTTAATTACAAAAACAGCATGTCTGGAAAAACAATTGGAGAATGCTTCCTAAAAAAAAAAAAAAAGTAAACAATGTCATTCAGCATGTATTGAACCCTTTTCAGATAGCATATTTATTTTTCTCATGCTCTGCTCCATGAACATATATACTACCTCTGTTTTTTTTTTTTTTAGTTGACACGTTTTGACTTTAGCACTATTTACTCACTTCCCTTTGACATGTTTTGTGCTTTATACGAAATGAAAAATATAGTCATGTGGGATCTTGTTAGATTCGTCACGATATATATTTTTAAAATATCAATTTTTTTTATAATTTTTGGTTATTGCCAATTAAAGATATTAATGGTTGAAATTGTGCATTGGCAAATGTGACTAAACAAACGTGTCAACTAAAAAGAAACGGAGGAAGTATAGGGTTAAAAGCATTATGGTTGATGGTTGACGCTTGACGGCAAGCATCTATGCTAAAGCAAATTAAGCGGGGCTAGAGTAAATGAAACAATAGCAAAGCAATTTGCAGATATAAGAGGCATTTATTAATTGTATCATAACAGACCCCTTATACAAAATATACTCAAAACAATCACTGCAACTATGACAATTAAGTGCAAAACAGATAAAATCTACCTAGCAGCATAATAAACTTATAAACTTGAGATTTTCAAACCACTTTTAATGGAATCCATCCAGTTGAAGAGGTAGCAAATACTATATTATTTTTTTCCAGGATATTAAGGCAGTTATTACCATAAAATGTAGCAGCCAATGAATGAGACATGTGATCCACTTTCATGGAGCACTTAACAGATTTTGACAAGTGTAGTAAAGATTTATTATTCTGAATTTATAAGATTTTAGTTATAAATCATCTCTATATAAAGCAGTCATTTGAAAAAAAAGCTACATATACGGTAGATATTAGAATTATGCATGAAGTTAAAATGACATGACAAGGATATGGCATGAACGGCACATGCCAATGTACCCCAAGTTTTGTATTTCAACTTTGAGAAATAATCCTTACTAGATTACATTTTATGCTACAATAAGTACAATTCCAACCCTAAAGACCCTTACAGCTGCAATCTTGTATGAACTTAATTCGTGAGTCAATACGAATTGATGATCGTCACTTGTGAGAATTCACAGCAAGCCATCACAGGCAATTTCCGTAGTAATAACCTCCGGATGCTGTCAACAATCTAGCCTCTTCAGTTCAATGATCTCCTCATTTAGTTCTCTACTTCTCTTCATCCTTTCCCTTCTTTTTCTTTCAGGCAACTACAGAGTACTATGGAGTACAGGGCAGGTGGGCCTGTTCAACTCCTTTTTACTGTAATTTTGTAAATAAAGTTAGGTAGGTCCCCCACCAAATTACAATGAAGTGATTCATGTAACAATGGGACATGTTGGCTATCTATTATTTTTTACCCATACATTAATTCACTATGGGCCTCTTTTTCACTAACATAATGTGCGGCTCTTTTAGAATTTTGAATCACAAAAGGAAAGTATATTATAAAAAATAAAGGAGCACCTGACCTACAAAAGTAAGGCATCTCCACCTTGTGTCTAAGCTCCTGAGGCAGAATTAAGTTATCCACAGGCATCTAACAGGAATATCAAATTAAGCTATGTTCTCTTCACCTTATTCTAGATAATTATTCCCTAATCTTATAAAAATCAAACTAGATCAAAATCAAACTAGACCAGAAAATTCACCAGAACTTATTTCTGTTTTTATTTTGTCGAATACCTATTTGATCTGTATTAAAAATTATAAAAATTGTATATTTGAAATGTACTCAGTCCGAGGAATGTGACCAGCATGGTCATACCCTCATCAAGATGAATGTAAAAAGCATGGTCAAACTTCAGTGAAATATTCAGAGATCAGATCAGAAAAAAGACCAGACCTTATTTTAGGTGACGAGAACATAGCATTAGTTACTGTTCTTTTATGTCTTGATCCTCTGCGATTGTCTCTAATTATATTAATAGTCCAACTAACTGGCTTTCATTCCAGTTGCGACCTTATAAACCCACTAATAACTTCTAAGTCAGTATCTGTAGTCCCAGACGAGGTGTTTAGGGGTGCGTCAGTGATATCAAAGCTTTAGGGTGACAGTGAGCTTTAAAAAACACCCAAACGAGGCCTTACCAAATCTATCCAAACACAACCTCGATATCAAGGAATCACGTGATTTACTTATGCATGGAAAAGATAATATTAAAATTGAATTAGACAGTGAGGGGCTTGAGATTTGTGAGAAGCTGCTTGTGCTTTTGGACAAATTAGACAGCTTCAACAGTATACGGTCCAATAATCTATAAAAGCAGAGGTCAGACTTCAAATTAAGAATTTCATACACCATTAGTAGAAGAGGAGCTTATTTATAGTCTGCTTTTGAAATACAGACCAAAACTACTGTGGTAAAAAAGATAAGAGCAATGTTCAAGAGGAAGGGCAAGGGCGTCCTTCCAAAAGACCATACAAAGGGGAAAAGCCAATATGCTGCCAACTGTACACAGCAAAAGCAGGAACAAAAACATAAATTTAAGTTCTGATTGAGGTATCTCAACGATGAAGTAGGAGTAGAAGCTGCAGAGATAAAAAAAAAATCAGATTTTGATATGGTTACTCCAATACAAGTTAGAAAGGGTTTGGAGATGTCTGGACACTTAAAGAATTGGTCTAAAAGAATTTTCAACAGATAAAATAACGCCGAAAAGTTCCCAATAAATTTTCTATTCTACAGGGAAAATTTATACCTTTATCCTATTTCGCTAATTGCCACATAGGGGTTGAAAGGTACTTCAGTACACCTTTTCACTCTAAAAATAATACGGCCAGCTTCCAATAGTAACTCTAGTATAAAGACAACGACCAACATAACCTTCCTATACCAAATGATGATTCAAGTCATATGTGAAGCAAGTTATAAGCAATGAGATCAGGGGTCTCAACTCTCAAGGGACTGAAGGTATAAAACCAGAAATAAAGAATCGTCAGCAACAGCAAGAAGTCTAAAACTGCAAAACAAGGCAGGCAACAACAACAAAAACCCCGGTGCAGGGGTATCAATTGAACCAGGTTTAATATTGGGATAAACAAGACCTGCAGCCACCTACAGGCTACAGCGGTAAGGTAGTAGCAAGGGATGGCAATGAGTACGGTCTAGTATAACCCGGACCTAGACCCGGAATTTTTCATCCATATCCATACCCAACCTGAACCCTTAGGGTCTAAAGTTTAAAACCCTTACCCAAACCCTATTGGTCTAGCAGGGGTCCAATTTGGGTCCTTTACCTACTTTTTTTTCCCAAGTTTTAATTGTCTATTAATTAGTGTACGATTGTATGTAATGTCATTGCTGACAGTAAGGTTGCTGCTGAATACCGCGGTATTCTAGATAAACTTGGAGTATCAATCGCAATTAGGTAGTTTCCGGGAGCCACCCATTCTTTCCTGGCCAATACCCGCTTGTGAAAAAATTTAAACTAAAACATGAGACCATGACTGATTATTATTCAATTTTGAAACTTCTTTATTTGATATATATTGCACGGTCTACGTATGGGTCTGGGTAGGGTTTGGGTCGGTAGGGCTGGGGTCAAAAAACATTATACCTGGACCCTTACAATACTCGATGCCACCTAGAACCATACTCTACTCGGAAGCATAGGGTCTAAAAAAAGGAAACATACCCATATTTTTGGGTAGGGTCCATCAGAAGGGCTCTAGACCCCTGTCATCTAGAAGAAATTCTTAAAGTAAAGAATATGGAAGAAAGTGTAGGCTTCTTCTGCTGGTAAGCAAACTTCAACGTTTTATGCCTTGTGAAACTTAAGATCATAATAATAAATTGCCAATTACCTTTAGGCTTTACCAATGACTAAGTCTGGTCGAAAATCAAGACCCCTGCAGCACCCTATTTCATGATTTAAAAATAATCTTAATTGTACAATTACTAAATATGTTATAAGCAGGGTTTAGAGGGTACTGCACACATCCTATATATATACAACGAAAGGGTTTAAGACCTGTATTACTTTGATGATTGTAATGGAAGAAATCCTCGTCTTTGAGAGGAATCAAGCAATCACTAAGCTTTGTACATTATCTAAGGTGTGTACATAAGTTAGAATGCCTATGAGATTGCAACACAGAGGTAAACTACAATGACAACCTAATCAATCATCAGGAAGCTAATTGAAATCCTATAATTAGCTCAATGCATCAGACAAGCTAAGTGTGAGATAGTCCCATAATCTAACAATCATAGTAATTGTTGATTAAAAACAGATCAAAGTAAGAGAAGGATTACATACAACAAGAAACTAACCTGGAAGGGTCCGCGTGTGCAGCCAACCAAGGCTCCACCATTGATGCACCAAAAGTATCTGCAACAGTTTGCCGAAGAACATCAGATTTCTTGGTATCGCCACCAGCAGCACCGCTGCCACCAGTGCCTCCACCGCCAACGACACCCCCACCTCTACTGATCAATGATTTGCTACACTCTGCCAAATTTGCCGTTTTAGCAAGCCAATTCAACACCTTCCAACCATCCTCAAAAGCAGCCGGGTAGCGATTCTCCGGCGCTAACCTATACCCAACAGCCAACACAATAACATCACAATACTTCGCAATCCGGCGACAGAAGAAATCATTAGCAACAGAATCACTACTCCCACTAACAAAACCACCCCCATGAAACTGCAACATCACCGGTAATTTCCTCAACTTATCACCCTTACTATGCTCAATCGACGGCAAATAACCTCTATATCCCCCATTTCCACCACCCACATTACCATAACTACTCCTCCTCAACGAATGATCCCCATTACCCAGATCAACAGAAGACGGTCCAAAACTATTCCTCCGATGTAAATTTGATCCAGAATCTTCCACAATCGCATCAACCCTTCTATTAAAAACCCTAGTTTTCGACCTGGGTTCCGACGAAAGAGCCGTCTCAGGAAGGAATATTCGGACGGAAAGAGAGGTAGAAGGATCAATATGTATATCCTTGGTCGCAACACCGTCGGTAAATACTGGATTTGCTGCTACAACCGATTCATCAGGCCGAGTTGTGACGCCAAAATCTTTGTTTAATCTTCCATTTACCGAATCATCCGCCGTATTCTGGAAACGATTCTGAAGGCGGTGTTTCAACAAGAATTTGAAGAAAACGCTGTATAACTTCACCGCTACGCTTGGCATCCTCTTTCACCTCTGATTTTCCACCCTTTCTGTTTGTTGATCTGTTATGGTGTATTTCTTGAAAATCTGAGATTCAATTTTTTTTTTTTTTTTTTTTTTTTTTTGTGATAATCAAATTAAATTCGACCTACATTGAATATTCTTCTGTTTCTGGGGCACTTTGTGGATGATTGAAGATGTCGTCCAAATCACAATCTTGTCAATTTTTTTTTTTTTTTTTTATATTTTAAAATAGTTCCCCCAACCTGTATGTTTCCGTAGTCATATTCGATTATGAATTATGCAACAAACAAAATATTAGTCCCTCCGTCTTAATACATAGTTACTGTTTATGTTTTTTCATGAAATTTAAAAAATAGGAGACAAAAGTAGATTAAATAAATAATAAAAAAACAGTGAAAGGTACAATAAGAGACAAAAGTTAGAAAAAAAAAGAATGAAGTACATAAAATATGTGAAAAGTACAATTAAAGACAAAAGTTGGAGAGAAAAAGTAGAGAAAAGTATAAAGCAAGTGGAAAATTCAAGGGTAATTTAGAAATTACAATGAATAAAGTTAAAAAAAATGAGCGTATAATAGTTGTTTCGGGGTTTTCTGATGTCCTGCGGGAGAGTTACAATTCCGAGACTGGAACCGGACGCATGTACCTGCAAAACAAACGGATGCTCCGGATGATTGGAGATCCGCCTCCGACGGTCAAGTTAGTACTTGATTAAGGAGTAATTAATGCGGAAATAAAAGTGATTGGGTCTCTCTAGGTGAGAGTGTTAAATGTGCGTAATCCCCCCTAATGAGGATTAAGGGAGGTATTTATAACCTTGGGAAACATGCCAATCCTAGGTTTAGGTTAACCTAGGGCTGATTGGGCTTCCCTCGAAAGTTGGGCCTAGGTGGCCGGTTTCTCCATTAGGCATGGAGGATGCCACGTGTCATGACATAATAGGTCCAGGGTGGACAAATAGACGTGTGCCACGTGGCAAACCCTGACAGCTCCAACTGGAGGACACTTGGCAGGACCTGATTGGCCCACGTGGCGCATTCCGATTGGTGGGAGCAAAATCCCCTAATCATTTGCCCCTCACAGGTGGCACGTGACTGGTCACGTGTTACCTGTGACAGGTGTCGCACTGTGACAGGCGACGGCCTGCTACAGGTGTCACTCGGCGAAAGGCCAAGAGATTCTCCCGCCCAAATTTTGAATATTGGAAGGGACCCTTCGACTTCTCACTTCGCCTATATAAAGGGGTGTTGACTTCAGTCATTTTCACATTTGAGAACTTTTTAGAGAGAACATTCGGACCCCTGAACTTGCTCTGACATTTCGGACCCTTTCTGCCTACCGCCTGCTCTGACAAGCCAACTTCACAAGATTTCCAGAACTCCGTCAACTTCACTCGTTCAGGTAACCGTCGGTTCTCTTACTCTTAATTTTTTCTTTATTTTATTCTTTTTTGAAATGGCACCACGGAAGCACACGACACGACCTAGGTTAGTGATCAGCCGGTCACCGGGGACGGCTGAATCTAGGACTAGGAGTGCCGCCTGCCCTTTTCCGGACCCATCTTTGCCCTTTATACAAAGTCTGACTGTCTCTATGTCTATGCAGAACATGATGGCCAGAACAAAAAGAACTGCTAGGATTTCGAACTCAGACGGCTCCTCCCACAGGGTGCCGATTAGTGAAACATCTGATCAGGCGCCAGATGTGGAAGTGAACCAAAGGGGCTTGAAAGCCGACAGTTCTGAGGGAGGAGTTAAAGTGACCCCCTCCAATTTTACAATTGACAAGTCTACATTCTCTCCTGCTCCTTTTGAAGGAGAGGAGGCGGGCCCCTCTGGGAGAGGGGAGGAGTCGTCCTCTTCGGACTCGTCAGAGGACGAATCCGAGTCTAACTCTTCTGGTCATGCTTCTCTGGACACAGAAGAGAAAAACAACCGCCTACAAGAGGCGAGACTTTCTCACGCAGTTGAGAAGGGAGACAATTGGGCGGAGCCATCCACCTCTTACCGAGAGCAGAATACCCCCTACTACTGCACTGTCCCACGGGGCCGGATCATGGCCATGCAAGAGAAAGTGGGGAGCTTTATTGCGAACCACACAATGGGCCCCGACTTTTTAGTTTTCGTGCCGGATCCAGAGGACACAGTCGTCTGGGCGGCTGGTACTAGTTATGATGGCGCCTGCTTTGGCTGCTACGAGGCGGCCATCAAGGCTGGGCTGCGCTTCCCACTACATCCGGCTGTTCAGCGGATCTTGGATGGGTATGAGTTGGGGTTATGGCAGTTAGCCCCAAACTCCTGGGTCAACGTACTCGGCTATGTGGCCGGGTTGCGAACTGGACGGGATGGAGCCAAACTTCGAGGCTTTCGCCCACATGAACTACCTCAGCCGGACCCCTAAGGCAGGCGGTACCGGCTGGTATCAATTGACGAGCCACAGAGGCTACCTCATGACAAGAGGTAAAGCAAACAAGTGGAAGGATTGGCGAAGCACCTTCCTTATCATTGAAAGTTCAGACACAGATCTGAACAGGCGCTTCAACAGGTGGAACAGGAATCCGCCTCTTCTTGCAGGCGGCCACAGCATGCCGCCTGTTCCCCCCAAGGCTAAGAAAGAGATCCTGGATAAAGGACTCTTTAAAGTAGAGTCGAAGGTCGACTCTACTTCAGGGGTACGAGAGCAAGTATCCCTGCACTGCGTCCCGAGCTTCAAATGGCTCTACGACGAGTACTTTTAGGCCGCCTGTGGCCTCAGCATTCGGTGCTCAAGAGGTAGCCGGCCTGTCAAATACTTTGTTTTTCCATGCATTACTGTTATGACTTTTTATTAACTTTGCTATTTGTTCTTGCAGCGGACGCCATGAGCAAAATTACCGCCTCCAAGACTGCGGCGGCCATGTTGCGAGCCTCCATCATGCAACAATCCTCAACCGACTCCCCCAACAAGGGGGCACCCTTGGTGAGCTCCGAACCTTTCACTCTCTTTTTGGAGTTGGGTTTATGCATATACTGACCGAGTGTTTTTTTTTTTTCAGACGGGCACTCCAAGAGCCTCTTCTTCCCAACAGCCGGACTCCAAGACCCGGAGGACGACTGTGGCGAGCTCTCCTGGTTCTGCCAGGAAACATGCGGCGACTGAGAAACAGCCGTCCACTCCTTCTAAAACTCCAATCGGGCCACCTAGAAGTATGAAGTTGTCCTTGTGAATTTTAGACTTGCTCCCTTCTTTACTAGGTCTAACCCGTTTGTTTATGCTTGATGCAGCCGGCCCTCAGGAGCCAGACTTGGTCGAGGTGGCCAAGTCTATGATCAAAGCCGTCCCTCCAGCTGAGAGGGAGGCGGTCAGGGGTGTTGGCACCCTTGACCTTGACGGGATTGCAGGGGTCCTTGCTGAGGTATACTTAGCATATTTTTGGTTATTTAAGTTCCAGGACGCCTGTTTTTTGTTTGAAAACTGACGCCTGTGCCCTTTTACTTAGGCTCTGCTCCGAGTGAACGGCCTTCGCAAGCCGCTTGACAGGAAGAACAAAGAGGTAAAGGCTGCAAAAGCTATGACCGCCTCTGACTGTGATAAGGCAATGTTTCAAATTGCCTAAAATGAGGTTTTGACAATTGATATTCTTTATTATCAGGCGCAGGCTACTTCTGCTATCCGGGCTCAGTTAGAGGCGGCCCAGAAGAAAAATAATGAGCTAGAGGCGACCATCAACAATCTCAAGGCCGAACTGAGACCTCTTCGCCAAAAAATGTCCTCATACGACACCTTGGAGAAATCCTTGGCGCACGTTAAGGAACGCCTGGTGACCCAGTAGAAGAGTCTTACTGAGGAGCTCTCGGCAAAGGCCGAGCAAGAAAAGAAGGAGCTGGTCCGAGAGATGATGGAAGACTCTGCTCAAATCCAGCGCCTGACCTGGGGCCGCCTCTTCCCCAATGCCGACTTTTCCTCCTGGGAAAAAACGTACCGCCAGTGTTCTGATAGATATAATCAAGAGATCCTGGCGGCTGCTGAGGACGAGGCGTTGGAGGAGGAGGAGCCGGTAGTGGCGCTTGTGCCGCTTGGGGGAGATGCATCGAAGAAGGATGCAGCTGAAGCCGAGTCCAGCAAAAAGAGTGCTGACCAGGCGGCAGCTGCTACTATTGAAGATCTGCCCCCTTCTTAAGCTTTATGTCTTCTTTTCACGGCCTGCGTGCCGTTTGTTTCTGTTTACCCGGCCAGGGGGCCGGGGTTTTGAATATTTTGCCGGTCTTAATGACCGGCTTCTTTTGTATCTTTTACCCGGCCAAGGGGCCGGGGGTATGAATGTTTATGCAAAAAATGTTTCGTTTAAATTTGTTTCGATTTTGCTAAGTATCGAAACTTTGATATCCAATTGCATACTATACCGACTGTTTTGCATGGCCGATAGTTGCGGACAGGTACGAGGTAGTTAGTCACGCCACCTATGCCCCTGGACGACTGGTTGTCTGTTTCCAGGCTAAGCGATCAGTCGGCCACTTTAAAGACTGGATCTCCTTCAACCAAGTAGGAAGGTGGTTTCCTACCTACCTTGTTTGTTTTTTTGTTTTTTTAAGCTAGAGACTCTAGTCGGTCCAGGCCGACTGTTCCCCGCCACATTTAATCTAGTGTGAACAGGCGCTGTATGAACACCTTTTTAGTTTCATACTAAATTTTTAAGGAGTGACCAAGTAAACATGATTGTTACCTAGTCGCCAAGTGAATGAGTAGTAGAGGTATCAAGCGGTGGTTACCAGTTGTTCCCCTTTATTCACCAATGTTTGTTGGCTATTAACTCATAAGATACCGACTGTTCTTATCCCAAGTAGTTCAGTCGGTTTGGTTGACACGGACGGTTACTGCGAACACTTGTTTGACCTGATTAGTCAGTTAAGTGAGAGGTATCCTTGTCCGGGAAACGGCTACGTGGTTTTCTTGGTTAGACAGTCGTATAGGTGCCGTGTAATGATTTTATAGAACAATGTTCCACCCAAAAGGGAGCTGCTCTCTGCGACGAATTTCATCCAGATGGATGTCGTCGGACGCCTGCTATAATGTTGGGACAGGTCGAATTAAACTTATATTTGGATCAATTGGCTTGGCGCCTGGTCTGATCATTTTAGCTATGAGCCTTTGATAGTTCTTGGTGAACTGTGTTATGGGAGAGTAGCCGGTTGTATGAAACAAGCGGCGTGCCCCTCTTAAGTAAGAATGAAAATTAAACATGGAGAGTAGCCGACTGTTTGTCAGTAGGCATGCCCCTCTTAGGTAAGAACGAAAATTAAACATGGAGAGTAGCCGACTGTTTGTCAGTAGGCATGCCCCTCTTAGTACAAAATTGAATGAAACATCAAACTTTTA